CGTGAGAGAGAGAGAGAGAGAGAGAGAGAGAGGGAGCGTGAGAGAGAGAGAGAGAGAGAGAGAGAGAGAGAGAGAGAGAGAGAGACAGAGAGAGCTTGGTTCAAGTTTTATGGTGCTTGCAACAGCAACATATCATACTGACTGCTTTAGGCTACTTTGTCACACACTACTACTTTTCGAAATGGCGCAAGAGAGAACATTCTGGAAGAAGATCTAGCTTCCCGCCAACAATTCCCCCCCTCCCCCCCCCTGCTCAACATCTTTTATGCATCCATTCAAGAACACATTTCTGTGTGAATTTTACGAGAGAGAAAAATACGGAAATAGCCAAACTTTGGCAGAAGCCATCTTCTCTCTAATTTATTGACTCGTGAAACAAGGTGACCTCCACCTCTGACTATTTGCGGATATCTCGCGCCACCCGTCCGCACACAGACCCACCCACCTGCCATCGGCGCCTCGTCGCTAAAGCTGATGGTCCGTCCCGAGCGCTCCGTGCGGTGCTGGGTGGGGCCCTCGGGCTGTTCCTGTATGGTCGACTGGGCGCGTGATTTGTTCATCAAGGATCGCTTTTTGGATGGGGAGTGTTTGAGGGCTGGGGGGAGGAGGGGAGGGGGAAGACAAATTTTAAAAAATTGTTATCATTATTTCCATGCATAAAAAAATGATCAAATTTCAAATTGTTATCATTATTTCCATGCATAAAAAAATGATCAAATTTCAAATCGTTATCATTATCTTCATGCATAAAAAGTGATCAGATTTCAAACTGTTATTATCATCAATGCACAAAATGTAGTTATTATTTTACTTCTCCGGGGAGTTCCTCGGGACCTCAAGTGGTAAAAGAAACAAAACCTTTAAAAAAAATTAAATTAAATTAAAGTTTTTTTTAAAATGACTGTAAAGGAAACTTCAAAGCAGTTGAAGAAAAAGAGATTTAAAAAACCCCCAAAACCAACATGAATAAATTAATTTTCGTTTATCTGGATCGATAACAACAGCCTACATTTATCTGTTTATCTGGACCGATTACAACAATCTTCGTTTATCTGGATCGATAACAACAGCCTACATTTATCTGTTTATCTGGACCGATTACAACAATCTTCGTTTATCTGGATCGATAACAACAGCCTACATTTATCTGTTTATC